ACCAATACTCAGGAGGTAGAGAAAGGCATATCTCCGTGAGTTTGAGGCCAGCCTGTTCTACAGAGCAAGTTCTAGGATAGCTAGAGTAGTTATACAGAGAAACCCTGTCTCAAAACACCAAAAGAAACAATGGGGGGGTATCATGTTGGGTTTAACCAATCTATAAATTCACTGGATTACATGAGCTAATATAGCAAAGATCATCTAAATACATTCAAATACACATCAAACTTTCACATTCATGCTTTCAAAAGACAGTTATAGTCTACTACAAAAAAGAAAGATCATTCTTGTCAGAATTAAATCAGACAGAGGTTACTTGTATAGAGAAAAAACACATGACAGACACCCTAATAGGCAGAAAGCTAGGGTGCTAGTGGTTGCTATAGGGGAGCCAGAGAAAGCCTTTTAACAGTGAATTATAAGAATGGAGTTCTAGTTTTAGTAATACAAAAATGAGTTATGGAGGGACTGGAGAGGGCTAAGCAGGTAAAGTCAACCTGAGTTCAATCCCATAAAATTAAAAGGTTAGAACTGAATCCCCCCAACTTGTCTGTCCTCTGAGGCACATTTGTGGCAATGCCTTCTTTCTCGTTGGCTGATCCAGGCCAGGTTGGTCCCCTGCACTGTAACTTCCACTTTGTCTTCACCTGTAATCCTTTTAGTGTTAAAAAGAACTTTCTAGTACTTTGAGTAAATAGTCATATGTGGAAATAATATTAAAAAGTAATATTTAGAGATCATTTTCATACATCTTTGACAGACATTATGATAAACATACTATGTTTTTGAATTTCTGCTAAACTTAAAAAATTTCTTCACTTCAGAAATGAATGACATTTAAGCTTACAGAGGTTTATTTATACCAAGAGTATAGTACATGTAGAGTTTACACACTTAATTCCAGATGCCTACAGATAGCCATTTTCTTAACCCCTGTAATATATACAAACATAAAATAATATTTTAATGGAAAAAATATTAATCACCATCAAGTAAAATATCTATGGCTTTTGAAAACCCATACCCCCCCTTTTTTTAAACAGTAAAGTACTACTTATATAAATGTTTATTTCCAAGACTAACGGGTCTCAAAATTTGGCATTATGTCACTCCAACAGTAGGATAACTAGACTCCTCAATAAATTTATATCTACAAATTATACATGTATGCAGTGAATGCATCACAAATACTACAGAACACAGACTAAAATAGAAGTAACACACTGAGAATTAAAAGTGAACATAATCCTACTATTTTTTCCTGCTTCCCAGAGGGTTAGATCTTGCCCATTCTGACAAGCCATTCTGAAAACTCATCACCTAAACTGGCATATTGCAAATGTTAATGTGCATATGAACCACATGGTCATCTAAATTTTAATTACAGATTCTGATTCAATGTATCTGTATGTGCCTCCTAAGTGATATCAACGCTGTACACTCATGAGCACATTTTGGGTAACAAGAATTTAAACGAGGGATTAATATTTAGCCAAACTTAGGTTGCTATTGTCAAAGAGGTAAAATAAATAACTTATTCTAAGGTTAACTATTCACAGTCACATCAAAACTGGGAAGTACTTTTCAAATCATACAACAATCATCATATAACTAAACCAATAACATCAAAAAAGTACCTGAAATATAGACAATCATTAGGACTGGGTTTAAGCCTGACTAAAATGAACAAAATATATAAAAACTGATTTTGTTCTGATTTCATCAAAGATGGCAGTAAAGAGAAACAAAGAGGATCAAAGATAATCACAACATATGCTTTTTATCTGCTTCTAAAATGAAATTAGTAGGTAGAAAACCTGTTCATATTTATATTCATTTAATAATTATAGCAATGTACTTCTTTGTTCAGTTTTGTATAAATAAATGCAAAATGGCATTACTTTTAAAGCCAATCAAACTAATATACCTTAAGAAGGCCCAGGTAGTTTAAATGTAGAGGACCTTACATATAAAATTCAGAAAAATTCAGAATATAAACAAAATGAAAGCAGAAAATATTTTGTTCTTGCTGCTAGTCTTCTAGGTCCCTAACAAAACCCTAAGGTTCCAATACCACCACCTACATGAGAACATGCCACACCAACTCTCCAATAAGGTCCAATAGTCAAAAGCCCCACAAAGCTAACATCATACTCAAATTTCAATTATTTACCTTGTCAATCATTTTTCTTGCTTCCACCTCCTCACTGTTGGGGTTCTCTAACTCAATGGTATAAGTACCCTTGTCACTTTGGTCATCATCATTATCCTTTTCTGAAGTAGCAGAAGTAGCTTGATTTTTTAACATTTTATCCATCTCCTGGCTTGGTCTGTGCCCAAGACTCCCTGAACTTCTTAACAATGCAGTTTGTAGGAAGGGTATTGACACCGATGGCTCCTCTGATTTCTGTTTTAACAATTTCCCATGTGGAACACCATGCCCCCCTCTGTGATGCGTAGAGCTAGTCTGTAAAGACAAAGAAACCACTTTGGCATCTGCTGGTGGAGATTTTGTTTTTTCAAGTTTTGTATGTGGTGTTGAGAAAGTAGTTTCCTGACATGAGATTCCTGAACTTTGCGTAAAAGAATATGACCTCCTCTTTCTGGAATGATCTTCATCAAAGAATGCAATCATAAAAGCAGTTTGACTTACAACGGCCTGGTCTTGATGCTTTTCAGTAGACTGGGTCTTCTTTTTCTGTTCTGAGTGATGGCGTCGTAAATGTTCCTCAAGAGTTGCACGCTTGCTACAGCGCCTGTGTGCCCCAGCATTTTCTGAATCACTCTGTGTGCCATCGTCGTGTTTGTTTCCTGGACATAAGAGAGGAATGATATAGTAGAAAAGAAAAAACTTCCACGGAGAAAATCAGAAGCACATACAAAAGTGCTATTTGTTTTGACACCCTTCCCCCTCCTAATCCAAAGTTGTATGCTGTTTTCCGTAACAGGCTCTGCATACTGTCCTCAAACACAATGATTACAATTACATTTAATCAACCAACAAGGAGGCCCTTCATAAACAACTGGATAAATTACTTTTCTTTCTCTAGATTCTAACTTTATAAAAGATTCATCAATGACTTAAGAGCAATGCACTATCATCTGTCATAGTTTATACTTATAATAGCAATACACATTAGTTCTGCCTCTGAATCGTAAACCTTTATTAACAAAACAAGAAAACCCACAAAAAACTGACTCTTAACATTAAGAGTAAGCAAGGCTTCAACCCTACACAAAGAACTGCAGGCAACTAATGAGTGTTGGGAGTGGGAGAAATAGTCTTTCCTAAGGAAGAGCACACCAACTGGTTATCCAATACCAGATGGTTAGCTCTGCCTGAAAACACACACAAGCAAGATTATACAGACTGAGCAGGTTATGTTCATGTATTTAGAATTATGTTTGTAACAGGAATTCATGAAAAAGAAGGTAATAATTTGAAAGAGACTGAACTAAGAAGAGGCATTTGGAAGGGTCTGGAGGGAGGAAAGGAAATGGGGAAATGAAGTCGTCATAATCTCAAAAAATAAAAGGAGTAATTTTTTAAAAGACTGGTGTAACTGCAACCGCATATTATTAAACAGAACATAAATGTCATAAAAATGGAATATATCTAAATTGTGACATTCGATACTTTTAAAAGTTCAGCATACCTTTTAATAAAAGATTGAAATTTTTAGTTTCTATTTATGACATAATTTTACAAATGTTTTGTTAGCAGAGATTTCTAAACTATACTGGTTTAAAAGAGTTCAAAAATGCTTAGAACCCTACCAAAGACATATGACACCCTTCCGTCTACTAAACCACATGATACAAATAAATATAGGCGAATGTCATGTCAAAGAAGTACAGTCACATTAAAACATATGTGAATTTTGAAACACCTATCTCCTAACAAAAGTTTTACTGGATCAGAGCAAGAGCTACTCTAGGCATGATTCAGATGGAATCACCAATTAAAGGTTAACTAAAATCCTTTTAAAGTTATAAATGATCTAGCGCATTGGAATATACATCGGCAGATTCCAGTTGTGTAGAAGTAATCTGATTAGGAACATTCCTGAACATTCCCAGGCTGTCTACTCTAATGCAATCACCTGAAAATAATGTGTTAGCCTACAAGACAACCAATCAGCGAGTAAAGACTTGATGTGTATGAAAGAATATGAGTTGTATGTCTAGGGGAAGGAATTATAAAGTTTGCTCCTAGTAAATCTGGAAGCTACCAACAATGGTGATAATTTAATACAAAACAGTTACCTGCAAAATGTAGCACAAAAAAGGAAAGAGGATAGACAAGGGAGTGGTAGAACTGAATGCCATCTTGAAAAAGAGAAACAGGGAGATAATAAGGTAAAAATAATGGGGCTGGGCAAGAGATATATTAATCTAAAAAACAAATGGGACAAATGTAAAACTCATCAAATTATTTAATACCCAAAACATAATTGAAAAGAAAAAGAATTTAATACGTGGAATCTCTGCCACTGATAATTTAGGAAACACAGGTAGTATATGGAAAGCAAATACAAATATAACCTCTATTTTAAATACAATTTTTACTATAGCACTGTTAAAAACATATTGGGTTGGATAAGCTGAATAGGAATTCAGTTTGCTAAGATCCAAAAGAATGAACTATAATATTTCTTATACAGGAAGACCAAATAAACTTACAATCAAAATTTTTAATGAAAATAACATTTGCATATCTTTCCTGCTATATTAATTTGTTGGAGATTAGTCATTTTCTTTCTTGTAAAATTACTATTCCTTCTAGTGCTTCAGTGTATTACACAAGATGAAAGGTGAGGATCAGGTCAGAGCTGCAATCTTCTGATTCTACTCAGCAAAAAGACCACCAGGAAATGCTCAACATGCTTAGCTCATCTGCCCATCACTAATGATGCCTAAATCTGGAAGTTCATTTACTCTCTCAGGTTAGTTTCGCTGTACTTCATAAAAAGCTGTGGCTAAAAGAAGCTGCAACTCTCCTAAAGGGTGAAAGTGTATGGGCTTTGTGAACACTATTTTCCTCACTGTCCCAAAGCGCATGCACTTTACTCTTGTAGGAGCAAGGCATCTCTATCTATCTATCTATCTATCTATCTATCTATCTATCTATCTATCTATCTATCCATCCATCTTATCTAATCTATCTGGTATCAGTTGTTTTTTAGTTACTAAAAAGCTCAAGTTTTAAGAAATTGTTACAATCTTCCTACAATCTGAATGTATCCCTTTCATAACCTAAATAGTAGGAAACTGTTATCAACTGATAGCAGCTCTGATTTCTGAAGCAAGTCAAATATCATTTGTGAATAAGTATGAAGAAATAACATCGGTCTATTTGAGATACAAAGTGAGTTATTGCTGTGAAAGGATTTTCTTGAAAGGCTTTAAAAACAGAATAATGTTAAATTTGAGAGTTCCCAGCAATGGTACCACACTGAGAGATGCCTACCTGGAAATCAAATTCAAAACTGATAGATTAATCTTTCTCAAAAATTTAAAACATATACTGATCAGTGTAGAGAAAGTGTTCATATGGATACTAATGATTCTACTTTTAATTAAGCTCAAACACGTCTTGGTGAAGAGCAGAGAATATACTAAAATGATGGTTTAAAATAATTGTTAATACAGGAAACAATAACAATGGCACTGTTATGAAAGGATTTTAAAAGATTTTTCCAAGTATTTATTTTATTTAATGTCTATGAGTGTTTTGCCTGCATGTATCTATGTTCAACCTGTGAGTGTCTGATGCCTGAAGAAGTCAGAAAAGGGCCCTGGACCCCTCTTTATGGATGATGTGGAGCCACCATCCGGGTGTTGGAAACTAAACCTGGTTCCTAACTGCTGAGCTACCTTTCCAGCCCCTTAACAAAGATTTTTAAATGCTACCTTCCTAAAGGATCTTTTCAACTCAACCTTCATATATTTAGTGAGAGTATAAACTTTAGGACGACTCATTTCCAATATATATACTACCTTTAATATTATACTAGCTTATTAATATTTTCATCAAATTTATATTATTGGTCAGTTTACAAATGTTACCTTTAACCTATGCATATGTATACTTTTCAATTATATATAAATATCATCTAGTAGGAATAAATATGTTGCACCAGAACTCAAAACCCTTTATTCCAGGTGACTATTGATGACTATCACTAAATATTTTAATAAGTGACAACAAAGAATTAGGTAATCATATGCTCTCAATATCCTGAAATGTCTTAGAAACATATTGGTACTAAGTATAAATTACTATTTCTTCATTACTTGACCAGAATTCCAGGTTGTAAGGTACGGATTAAGTCACTCAATTCCGTCATTAACAATGAAGTCACTAGATAACAATGTATGCTCAAGTCCAGATGAAATGTTAAGAAACAGAGTAAGACACATGTGATCCCCACCTCAAAAAGCATTTTTAAAAAATAAAATTAAGCAACTCCTAATAAAAGCCACAGAATGGTTAGATTCACATACAATTATACTTTGTTCAAAATCATTCCTGTATTGACAGCATATTAAAACATAAAATAGAATAACACAAATTCCAAAATAAATTCAATTCACAAAACCAGTGGGAATAAAGCTGATTATTTGTTACAACCAATATCCATGTACGAAGTTTCTAATGATTGTGATCAAGTGTTGAATATAGTATATACAATAGCTAATGTTACTATATAATAATATGCAATTATTATCCACAAATGAACATCTAAATTATAATTCCTGATAGCATAAAATTTACGTTAGAATAGACACCTAGCAAATTCATCTAAGCTGAAAATGTGTTTTGTGAGCAGCCTCTGCAAACAGCTTACATTTGAAGCACCCCATCAATAGTGTGACTGAGCTAAACAGAACTTTCAGTCCATACCAAGTAGCTTAATTTTGTTTTCAAAACCTAGCTATGATACTTCACTGAAAGCATGATACAGATAAAACAACTGAACATATCCTTTCTTTAAATCAAGAAAACAATAGGGATTATCTTCTAGGAAATTCTATTTTGCATAATGAATAGATTTTGCTTTTCTGTAGGAAAAAATAAAGATAATTAATGACATAAATATCCTCCTCCACAAACCAATGTAACCACATTGGGAAGAAAATGAAGAAAATTTTGAATGAGTAATTTGGACATGAACGGTGCTCTTTGCTTTTGAGCTTTAAAATTAAGTGTAAATTTGAAACGCAGATATTTTCCATTGTATAATTAATAGCAGTCTGCTAAGTTTGATGACCAACTTTTCATTATGACACAATAGGAATCTCTGAAAGTCACTTTACCTTTCAACCTTTTCAAGTACACGGGAACATCACTTTTAATGCTCTTGGAATCCTCTTCTGTTCTCTCCCACACCATTTGAGGAGGGTTGTTTTGTGCTAGCCAGTCAGCTACTTTGTTTTCTGGCGCCATCATTCCTGTCTGAATTCCCGGCAAGTCTTGAGTTCCAGGAGTGGCCTTCTTTGACTTGTGACGATGGTCAGAAGTGAATTTTGTCACATGATCTCTAATAGTTACTTTTCCTGGCATACTGTCATCAAATTCAATGGTAAATGAAGCATGCCCTGCACCTGCTATATGGGAACTTGGCGTGTCTTTTGTTGGAATCTCATGAATAGTGCTCTCTGCTATCTGTGATGGCTGCTGGAATTCTTTTGTAGGAATTTCAAAATAACTTGGTTCCCTACAGAAAGGAAAAAGTGCTTCTTCATTTGCAGCTGCAGACTGTTCCTCCGCTTGCTTGGCATCTATGCTGCACCCTAATGAGAAAAATGAGAGAGAATTCAAAATATTTGGAAGCCTGTAGCATGAAGGTCATTGGTAATGACCATTTGCATTATTCTGAGAATCAGAAGGCAGATGATAATCCGGATGAAAAACAATGGCACTTATATGACAGAAAAAAGTCAAAGAGATGTCACAGAGATCAAAGGATCTTGACTATGATCCAATTACAAATAGGAGATGCAAGATAAACAGCAGCAGCAAAAAAAAAAAAAAAAGAAAAAAAAAAAAAAAAAAAAAAAAAAAAAAAGGGGGGGGGGGGAAGCAAAGCAGGAAAAGATGGACTCTGCACTGACAGCTCCATACATTTTTCAACTAGAAAGTCTAGAAATCATCAAGCTGAGAAAGAAAGTATAGATGGAGATGTTCTATACATACATGTGTGTATAAATAAACACATACATAGTGTGATAGAAAAAGCATCCATTACCTAATTGAGTTACCAGAATGAGCTATTTGAAACCCTTGAGAACAAACGTAGGGCTCTGACGGTGAAGAGGCAGTCAAGTGAGGATGGAGACAGGAAGTAATTATATAAGCGATGCTTAGGAAGTCATAATTCCATTTACCAGTCTCTATCATATTCAGAGACCCCCTACTTTAGGACAAAATTGATAATATCTTGGGAGATGACACACATGTTATAAGGTAAGAGTGGTTAGCGATACAGCATGTGGCTTGCTTGCTTGAAGCATGGCAATTCAAGCAGTAGTATGAAAGAAATAATGCAGAAACAGAAAATTCTTTAGTCAGCCAGTAAGTCTGGGAGAAACTTAGTCTACACCTCTGTATATCAAATTGTGCACAACTTCCTAAAGGTCAAGGGTGAAAGTTCAATTACAAGCAGTAAGTGGCAAGGAGAGCAGGCAAAAACAGAACACTGACAATTCCTCCAGTGACTGCTTAAATCACTGACTGCATAAAGATGCAAAAACAGGTGTTTGGTAACACAATGTAAAAGAAAAAAGGCGAAGATTAAACTGCCTGTTGGTTGAGAAAATAAAATGCAGTACCTATTACCAAGACAGCCTACTATCATAAAAGAATTAATATGAAATAAATTTCCCTAAGGCTCAAATATCAACCTTATTTTAAACAGATTTCATAGTAAATCAATTACAATTTACTAGAAAGAAAAGGCAATACAGGCATACTAGGCTGTTTCCAATCTTTTTTTTAATTACAAGAAGTATGTAGTCTTCTGAAATACTTTTTCAAACATTACATCTTTGTACAATTCATTAGGTGCTATAATTGTCTTCTTTATTAGTACATTGAGTATGAAATTATAACAAAACTATCTTCTTTTGTTACAGAGTAATATTCTTGTTATCAAATATGTGGGATATGATATAGAAGATATCAGGCTACACTACTAAAATAATAATGATCACAATAGCCATGGTCATATTGTCAAAAAATGTACACAAAAGGCAGGGAACATTTGCAAATAGAAATTTTCAAAGTAAAAATTATTCTTTTCAAAATTTACTCCATTTGGTTTGCCAAAGAAAGGTGAAAGTATTTCACAGGAATTATTATAGCAAATAATAGAGGTTAAGATGAAAATCCAGAGCAGATAAATAGCCTTGAAAACAGTCTCCCAGTGCTACTCAGTATCAAGGGCCTGAGAGGCTCAGGCTCTGCAGGACATCACTGTCAGATTTCATTGTTCAATAACTTACACTTGGTGATTCTCAGTAATGAAGGAAAAACTTAAATTATTCTTAGCTTTCTCTGCCTAAGAAAGCGGTGCTGTAGATAACTACATTTCATAATGACTTTTGACAAATGGTTTCACTTTTCAGTAACTCAGTTGTAAAATTAAAGTTTCCTCATCTAGAAAATGTAGTATGTGAACAGAGATTAATTTCTCTGTAGACAAAGTCATGAAAGGTGTGAGCCTGTCAGAACTGTAGTCTGACTAGAAATACATATTAGAAAAATTGCTAAGGAGTTTTAAGATCATGCTAAAAAAATTGAACAGGTTTCTTCTCTTACAACATTGAAAGAACATAGTCTGAAGTTTATGAATTTTCTATTTCTATTCACAGCCATTTTTATTTAAACCAAATTAAACTACATGGGATAGTATTGTTTATACTAATATTTTATAATTAATTTAAAGAGCAATTTAGTAACTAAGCTAGAACTGAATTTGTATGCCTAAACTGGACAATATTAACAGATACATATATATATATATATATATGTGTGTGTGTGTGTGTGTGTGTGTGTGTGTGTGTGTATACACA